GCCTCCCAAAGTGGCTGGGATTACAGGTGTTGAGCTACACCTCCGGCCAATAATTAACTAGCCAGGCGTGGTAGCACGCACCTGTAGTCCAGCTACCGGAGAAGCTGAGGCAAGAGAATCACTTGAGCTTAAGAGGTCGAGGCTGCAGTGGGCAGAGATGGCGCCACTGCACTCCAGCCTGAGTGACAAAGTAAGATCCTATCTCAAAAATAAAAAACCACAGAATCACCTTCTGATCCTGCAATTCCACTTCTGTATACCCAAAATAACTGAAAGCAGGGACTTAAAGAGACTTTGGGCCGGGCGCGGTGGCTCAAGCCTGTAATCCCAGCACTTTGGGAGGCCGAGACGGGCGGATCACGAGGTCAGGAGATCGAGACCATCCTGGCTAACACGGTGAAACCCCGTCTCTACTAAAAATACAAAAAACTAGCTGGGCGAGGTGGCGGGCGCCTGTAGTCCCAGCTACTTGGGAGGCTGAGGCCGGAGAATGGCGTGAACCCGGGAGGCGGAGCTTGCAGTGAGCTGAGATCCGGCCACTGCACTCCAACCTGGGCGGCAGAGCGAGACTTCGCCTCAAAAAAAAAAAAAAAAAAAAAAAGAGACTTTGTTTCTCCAGAGAGAAGGAAAAGTTTTTATAGCTTCATAAACTCCAGGAAAAAGCCCCAGGACAGCACAGCCCAGTTCCATCTCTAAGCCGAGAAACCTTAGAGAAAGTTCATGCCTCGTTGCCGCATTTATTCCATTTATAAAAACAGAAATTTCGTACTGTGCAACCAACATGCACAAGAGGTGAAAGACGGCGCTGCCCACTCTCCCAGACTGGACATCTGGGCGCTCTGCTAACCTTGCCTCCGACTCACTGCCCAGCCCTCAGTTTCCTCATCTGTCCCTGCTGGGGCTCTGAATGACCCACGGCTCCCAGAGCTGGGTGGAGGAGCCACGTGACCCCAGGGACTTCCAGAGAGCACTTCTATCAATGGATCCCAGTTCTGGTACCAGGAACGACAGAGCTGAGTCATTCAACACGACTCACGGCTTCAGCAGAGGCTCTCACTGAAATGACTTTTTTTTTTTTTTTGAGATGGAGTCTCACTCTGTCACCTGGAGTTCAGTGGTGTGATCTCAGCTCACTGCAAGCTCCACCTCCCGGGTTTACACCTCAGCCTCCCGAGTAGCTGGGACTATGGCACCCACCACTGCGCCTGGCTAATTTTTTGTATTTTTAGTAGCGATGGGGTTTTACCGTGGTCTCGATCTCCTGACCTCGTGATCTGCCCGCCTCGGCCTCCCAAAGTGCTGGGATTACAGGCGTAAGCCACCGCGCCCAGCCTGAAATGACTTTTTAATAACCTTGGCCCAGCCTGCCTTGGGGACCCCCCTCCCCCATCTGGTGGAGGCCACTACCCAGAGCTGGGGATGTGCGGAAGGAGCCACCCTCATGGTGACGCACGCACACTGCCCAGTCCCGGTGGTCACAATGTCTTCCTTCTGCAGGTGCCAGGAGGGCAGGCTGAGAGGCCAGAGTGCCTTCTGGGCCCCAAGTGCATGAGCAGGATGGAACCAGCACACGTGGGACTTGAGCTGCAGAGCACTGAGCTTTATTTTAAAATTTCCACAGAATCCCTCACCCTCCACCCCAGGGTCCTTCCTCTCTGGAACCCAGGCAGCAGACAAGCCTGGGCCCACCCACCTGCCCAACCTAGGACAGCCGGGCCTGAGCGGGCCGGGCAGGGGCTTCCATCTCCTGGGTGCGCCTGCCAGAGGTGAGAGGCTGGAGGCGGCGGGAATGCTGTCCTCCTCCAGGAGTCAGTCCTCAAGGCTTCTGCCGTGAGACGTGGGGCCGAGGGACGTGGGGCACTGACCAGATCGGGGTGGGGGGCGGCACCTGCATTGGCAAGGCGTGGATGGGGAAGAGGGAAGTTTCAGGGGGGCCACTTGAAAGGGACAGGTCACCTCCAGTTCCAGCCACATTCCCTCCTGGATCTTGCAGTCAGGGTGGCCTTCCTGGGTGGAGCAGGGCAGGTGGCAGGGAGCGGAGGAGTTCCGGGGGATGGCTAGGGTCAGGGCCAGAGGGCTGGACCCCTGCAGAGAGACACCCCCAGGCTCCATCCTCCCCACCCCAATCCTACCCCCCAGGGGGCTCTGCAGTCCCCAGGCCTGCTCCAAGGTCTTTGTCCCTCTGGGGGGCACCCCAGGCTAGGATGTGATCTGGGCCATACCAGGCGAAAAGGGCTGGTGCCTGACAGCTTCTGGTGCTGGACCTCAGCAGAGACAGAGGACCAGAGGTCCAGGTTCTTGGGGGCTGAGCTTTTCTCAGACTTCGGAGGGAAAATGTCCCAGCCCAGCAGGCAGTGCTGTGGAAGGCAAGAGGTTAAAGGTGCCTGGCCTGGGACAGGCTCCCCACTGACTGGGCAGACCCCCATCAGGGAGGGACTGTGCCCCCCATTAGGAAGGAGGCCCCCACCAGGGCAAGGCCTGTGTCTACCCACAAGATTACCCCAGGTCTCTCCTTCCTTATCCTGGCAGATCCAGCCATCCCTGGGGCCCTAAGAGCTGAAATAGGAGGAGGACAGGATGGTGACAGTGACACTCACAGGGCGCTTCCTGCTGTGGGCTCTCCAAGCGCCCGCATGGATTGCTTCCCTGACCAGCCCCACCTCGCCACCAACATCCCTGAGGATGGCGCTGTTATGTCCATTTCATGGACCAGCAAACTGACTTTCCTCTGTATCCTTCTCCTCCTCTGACCCCAGCTGCCCTACTCTCAATTTAGGAGTCAGGCGGAGTTGCCACTGGGCCCCCATCCTGACCTGGAGACACAGGAAAGGACTTTTTTTCTTTTTTTTTTTTTTTTTTGAGATGGAGTCTCACTCTGTCATCCAGGCTGCAGTGCAGTGGCGAGATCTCGGCTCAGTGAAGCCTCTGCCTCCAGGGTTCAAGTGATCCTCCCACCTCAGCCTCCCAAGTAGCTGGGACTACAGGTGGAAGCTGCAGTGAGCCAAGATTGTGCCACTGCACTCCAGCCTGGGCAGTAAGAACAAAACTCGGTCTCAAAAAAAAAAAAAAAAAAAAAAAGAAGCACAGAGACCTAGGTTCAAATCCCAGCTCCTCCAACAAGGCGCCTGCCACTCCGCTTCGGTCTCCCCACCTGCAGGGTGGGGGTACAGCAGTGCCTGCCCTCCTGGCTGCTGTGGGGGCTCCCTGAGAGAAGCCCCCTAAGGACTGTGCCTGCAGTACACAAAAGCGCAATAAACAGGGCCCGTTCATTTCACGCCAATCTACAGGCAGACCACCCTGGAAGCCCCGGGGTAAGTGGAGCGGGGGTCCTACCTCCCTTAGGGACGGGTGTGGGTGATGGAAGAGGCCCAGCCTGTGCTCCAGAGACTTGGGTGCTCACCACTGTCGAGCCCAGCCTTGCTCTGTGACCCTCCCTGGGGACCTGGGCCAGTCTGAGCCAGCCCCGCCCTCATCACCATCCAGCCCCACGTGGCTGCTCACCCGGGGCAGGGCCAGTGTGTCGGAGGCGTCAAAGCTCTTCCGCCGGTGGATGCGGTACTGGTGCGGGGGTTCCAGGATCGACAGCGGGATGCTCACCCTGCGCAGGGGTGCAGTGGGGGACCCCTGAGGAGCCTCCCGGCGGTTGGGGGCCCACGCCCAGGCCCATCTTTACTCCTCTTAAAACCAGTGGTTCAGGCTCTGTCCCCACAGGTGTCCCAATACTCTGGTCACTCACCTGACCTGTGCCGGCTGCGCCAGGGTCCCAGGGCCCTGCTGGTCTCGTGGTGTCCTACACAGGCGGCAGGGGGTGCCGGGATCCACAGGCACGGGGAACAGGCGCCGGTTGACACGGTAACAGTACACGCCTGCGAGGCCCATGAGAAGCCGCAGCTCCCCCTGAGCCAGGAACCCAGGTCCCCAGGTCCCCAGGTCCCCAGGCCCGGTGCTGCCCCCAGCGGCCCCCAATCACACAGGCTGCCAATCCTCTGGGAAGCAAGTTGGCCCATTTCCTTCTAACCCCTTTCCTCCCAGAACCTGGGGCCCACGCCCTAAGGGGACATCCTCCCGGGGCTCTCAGGAGCTGGGATGGAGTCCCACCAGCACAGAGGCGCTGCTGGGAAGGTTGGGATGGGGCCACGCAGGGCAGCCCCTAATTCGGAGGCCAGGTCTTAGCTCACCCCACCCCTACCAGGGCTTGGCCACCCTGTCCAGACTGCAAGCCTCCCTCCATGAGTCTCAACACCTCAGGGCCCTCCCCAGGCCCCAAACCTCAAATGGAACCGCTCTGTGGCAGGGGAGGCCAGGGCAGCGCGAGGCTGGACTACTCAGTGGCCTAGCCGAGGGCCCGCACTCACATTCATGGTCTTCCTCCACGCCGCTGCCACTGCTGTCACGCAGGCCCAGGACCTGGGGTCTGAGAGGGCGAGGGGGATGAGCAGGCCGGGGGATAGAGCCGCTCAGCCACCCTCGCCCACCCTTGCCCACCCCTGCTCACTCAGGATGGCTACAGATACACTCCTCCTTGTTGGTTTCCCGAAACTCCTGCAGCTTCGAGAAGAAGGCCTCAGGCTGGCTGGCGATTGAAGAGCTGGTGTCCAGAGACCCTGGTGTGGGCAAAGCACCAGGCAGCTGACGGGAGAGGGGCTGGGGGCTGCTGTGTGGCCACCGGCCAAGGCTTGGAGAGACGATCAGCCCGACACCCCAGGCCACCTGCTTCACCCCTACTGTGCCTCAAACAGGCCAGGAGGGCCCCTCCAGTCACTGGGACTGTTGGTTGGTTTCAGTGTCTGTCTACCCTGATGCATAGCCAACCATCCATGGAAAAAATATCGACAGAGACCTTTTTTTTTTTTTTTTGAGACGGAGTCTCGCTCTGTCGCCCAGGCTGGAGTGCAGTGGCCGGATCTCAGCTCACTGCAAGCTCCGCGTCCCGGGTTCCCGCCATTCTCCTGCCTCAGCCTCCCGAGTAGCTGGGACTACAGGCGCCCGCCACCTCGCCCGGCTAGTTTTTTGTATTTTTTAGTAGAGACGGGGTTTCACCGTGTTAGCCAGGATGGTCTCGATCTCCCGACCTCGTGATCCGCCCGTCTCGGCCTCCCAAAGTGCTGGGATTACAGGCTTGAGCCACCGCGCCCCGGCTGACAGAGACCTTATGACAGGGCTAGATGCTGTTTCGTGTGCCAGGAACTAGATAGACAAAGCCCCCGGCCTTAATGAGTCTTACACTGTAAGGTGGCAAGAGATGAACTAGCCACCAAAAAAAATCCGTGAGACAAGACTGAATGGTGACACCTGCCAGAAAGCAAGAGAGCAGGGTCAGAGCCTAGTATGGCAGGGCAGCCATGCCAGGGAAGGCCTCTCCGAGTGACGACCCTGAGCAGAGACACGGAAGAACCACAGAGACCTCCCAGGAAGGACATCCCAGGCAGATGAAAGAGCAAGCGCAAAGGCTGGGCACGTGTGTGGTTCAGCTGAGGAACAGCCAGGAGGGGAAAGTGGCAGGAAGGGAGTGAGGGTGGAGGAGATGAGGTTAAGAAGCTCAAGGAGGGTTTGGGGACCGGGAGGGACACAATCACATAGGCCACATATTTTTACAGGACTCCTCCTCTGGCTGCTTCAAGGTGAGGGGAAGTAGAGGCATCAGTTAGGATTCAGCTGGGGACAGGCAGGGGCAGCCCCCAACTCAGCATGATTCGACTTAGGATGTTTCTTTTCTTACTTTTTTGAGAGAGAATCTCACTGTGTTGCCTAGGCTGGAGTGTAGTGGAGCGATCTCACCTCACTGCAACCTCTGCCTCCCAGGTTCAAGAGATTCTCATGTCTCAGCCACCTACGTAGCTGGAATTACAGGTATGCGCCACCACGCCCAGCTAATTTTTGTATTTTTAGTAGAGAAGGGGTTTCACCATCTTGGCCAGGCTGTTCTCAAACTCCTGGCCTGATCCACCTGCCTTGGCCTCCCAAAGTGCTGGGATTACAGGCGTGAGCCACTGCCACACCTGGCCAGAATTTTTCAAGTTATGATTTATCAACTTTACAATGGCACAAAAGTGATCACATTCAGAACATCAGTAAGTTACATGAGACATTCAACACTTCATTATAAAAAAGGCTTGTGTTAGATCATTTTGCCCAACTGTAGGCTAATGTCAGTGTTCTGCGCACATTTAAGGTAGGCTCAGCTAAGCTAGAATGTTTGGTAGGTTAGGTGTATTAAATGCCTTTTTGTTTTGGTTTGGTTATTTTTTTTTTTTTTTTGCTGCCCAGGCTGAAGTGTGGTAGCGTGATCTCGGCTCACTGCAACCTCCGCCTCCGGGGTTGCAGCGATTCTCCTGCCTCAGTCTCCCGAGCAGCTGGGATTACAGGCGGGTGCTACCACACTCAATTAATTTTTGTACTTTCAGTGGAGATGGGATTTCAGTATGCTGGCCAGGGTGGTCTTGAACTCCTGACCTCAAGTGATCCGCCCGCCTCAGCCTCCCAAAGTGCTGGGATTACAGGTGTGAGCCACCGCGCCTGGCCTTATATGCCTTTTTGACTAAACAGTATTTTCAACTTACGTTGGGTGTATCAGGATGTAGCTATATGGTAAATCCAGCAGCATCTATAATCGGATTCTAAAAGTATGTTGAAGGCAGGGTCAACAGGATGTGCTAATGGACTAGATGAGGATGGTGTGAAAAGGAGGGGGGAATTAGGGTCGATCCCAAGGTAATAGCCTGACCTATTTAGTATGTGGAGTTGCCATTTGTGGAGACAGGAAAGACTGCAGGAGGAGCACAGCAGATGGCGTGGAAATGAGGACCCTGATTTCGGACAGAAGGTTAAAAACTTCATGGTGATGTGGAGAAGACAGCGGGATATACAAGTCTGGAATTCGGAGGAGTGATGTGGGCTAGAGATACAAAATGGAGAAGTAGAGAAAGTGTCAAATGCCTCAGCACTTGGGAGATCATAGAGGGAAGAGGGAAGACAGAGAGGAGTCAGAAGACTGAGTCCCAGGCCTAGGGGTATAGTGGTCAGAACAAGGACCTTTCCTTCCCCGGGAGCCTGGGAAGGAACACCAACCGAGATGGGGTACAGCCAGGAAGCATGGGGCTAGAAGTCTAGGGGAGAAAGTGCTTTAGGGAGGGAGTGACCACTGTGTCCCCTGCTGCTCAAAGGTAAGGAAGGTGTGGATGAGGGCTCAGCTGGGGAGTTGGCACCACGGAGGCCACTGATGACCCAACGGAGGGCCACGTTGATGAAATGCTGGGAGCTGAAGCCTGATTTAAGGAACAGTAGTGGAGGCTGGACACAGTGGCTCATGTCTGTAATCCCAGCACTTTGGAAGGCCAAGGCAGACAGATCACTTGACATCGGGAGTTCCAGACCAGACTGGCCAAGATGGCGAAACCCTGTCTCTGGCTAAAAATACAAAAATTAGCTGAGCGTAGTGGCACATGCCTGTAATCCCAGCTACTTAGGTGGCTGAGACATGAGAATCACTTGAACCTAGGAGGCAGAGGTTGCAGTGGGCCGAGATCACTCCACTGCACTCCAGCCTGGGTGAAAAAGTGAGACTCCATCTCAAAAAAAAAAAAAAAAATAGTAGTGGAGAGAAATTAAACGCAATGAGGCTAGACAGCCCTTTTGAAGAGGAAGTTTTGTTATCGAGACAATAGGCAGTCACTGGAAGCAAATGTGGGCTAAAGGTAGAAATGTGGCATCGGGATGAGAAATAACAGGTGCGGCTTTACCCCGACTGGATGGGAGCCGCTGGTAAGATTCTGTCTCACCTGGCCTCAGCCTTCCCATCTGTGAATGGGTACCATGGTGGCGCCTATCTAATAAGCTTATTGTGAAGGGCAAAGGAGTCAGCAGGAGGAACAGGGAGCAGAGCTTGGAGCAGTGCCTGGTGCAGGGAGCATGAGATACAACCAGCTCCCAGAATGCTTCCTGCACGTTCATGTTCATGCTGAGGGGCAGGATGAGGATGCAGGACAGAGAGAGAGAGGATCACAGGAAGCAAACCCTGGAGCAGCCAGAAGCAGAGGGGCGGAGTACGCTGCAGCAGGGCCAGGGCCCAGGTGGCAGCGTGGACGGTCACCTTGGGAAAGGCAGGGAAGCAGAGCACATGGACCAAGAGCAGGCATTGGGACAGACGCCTCCATTTTCCCAGAACCAGAAAGGAGGGCAGTGAGCTGAGAGTTCAGGAAGTACTCAAGTGCAGGGCCTGTGTCCCCGCCACCACTTGCTCCCAGCAACTCCACAATGCACCTGTCTTTGTTTTTTTGAGACAGAATCTCACTTTGTCACCCAGGCTGGAGTGCAGTGGCTTGATCTCTGCTCACTACAACCTCCACTTCCTGGATTCAAACAATTCTCCTGCCTCAGCCTCCTGAGTAGCTGGGATTACAGATGCCCACCACCACACCCAGCTAGTTTTTGTATTTTTAGTAGAGACAGGGTTTCACCATGATGGCCAGGCTGGTCTCAAACTCCTGACCTCAAGTGATACGCCCACCTCGGCCTCCCAAATTGCTGGGATTACAACTGTGAGCCACCATGCCTGGCCAGGCTGGTCTCAAACTCCTGACCTCAAGTGATACGCCCACCTCGGCCTCCCAAATTGCTGGGATTACAACTGTGAGCCACCACGCCTGGCCGTGGCCTCCTTTCTGGTCCTGCCACACCTGTGGTCACCCCATTATGCGTGTAATCCCAGCACTTTGGGAGGCCGAGGTGGACGGATCACCTGAGGTCAAGAGTTCAAGACCAGCCTGGCCAACATGGTGAAACCCCGTCTCTACTAAAAACACAAAAATTAGCCGAGCATGGTAGTAGATGCCTGTAATCCCAGCTACCTGGGAGGCTGAGGAAGGAGAATCGCTTAAACCAAGGAAGCGCAGGTTGCAGTGAGCAGAAATCACACCACTGGACTTGACTCTGGGCAACAGAGCAAGACTCCATCTCAAAAAAAAAAAGAGGAGGCTGCAACGCTGGAAGAAAGAAAGACAGGAGGTCACATCATCATGGGGCCAGTAGAGGCCAGATCATGCCTCGTAAGTCTAGAATGGGATTTTGGATTTTACAGTAAGTGCTGGGAAAAGTCCATGGGGAGTTTTGAGCAGGGGAGTGACATGATCTGATTTCCATGTTTAAAAATATCCTTTGGCTGCTATGTCAACAATGACAGTGCACAACCACGTCCCTGGCAGCATTATTCCCAACAGTCAAGAGATGGAAACCACCCAAATGTCCATCCATGAATGAATGGATAAACAACATGTGGTATCTACACACAACGGAATGTCACTCAGCCCTAAAAAGGAAGGGAATTCCAGCCAGGCACAGCAGCTCACACCTGTAATCCCCGCACTTTGGGAGGCCGAGGCAGGAGAATCACTTGACTGCAGCAGTTCGAGACCAGCCTGGCCAACATAGTGAAACCCCATCTCTACTGAAAATACAAAAATTAGCTGGGTGTGGTGGCGCACACCTGTAATCCCTGCTACTCGGGAGGCTGAGGCACAAGAACCATTCCAACCCAGGAGGTGAAGGTTGCAGTGAGCCGAGATCACACCACTGCACTCTAGCCTGGGCGATACAGTGCGACTCTGTC